CAAAAGTCCACAAAGGCCTTCCACATGATGAATGTGCTCAATTAAAACCATGTGCTCATGAATTGATTTTCGTATTTGGAAGTACCTTTCTGTGTGAAAACATTTTTTAAAGATAAAACATAAAATCACATTAGAAATCAGCACTAACAGATGAACGCTTGCAATTGATTTGGTGATGGAGACACTAACTTTGACCCCCAATTAAGCACAATGTTATTGCCCCTCCCCCCCAAAAATGAATTACCTTATCAGTAGACCTGTATTAGCAAAAAAAAAAAAGCTGTACTCAATTATTAGCAGCATTATTTTATTACTGCAATAAAATTGTGTGGAAATTTGTTTTCTCTCTTCTTAGGTAAGTACCTATATAATATCCCAATTTTGCCTCTTGAACTATAAAGCCTAAGGTATTTATTGTCCAGTTATTTACAGAAAAGTTTGGCAACTCTTTTTTTTTTTTAGTTTGATCAATCTCAGCATTTCCAGGCTCTGCTCACTATTCCACAACAAGTAAAAACCTAGATCTAGAAATAGACATTAAACCATATTTTCAGGGATCCTCTGGGCTTCAATGGAGCAAGGATTGGACAGTTCAGAAGATGTTAATCAGAAAGCATCAGAGCATGAAGAGAACTTGAGGAGCATCCAGGACAGCTCTTACCTTTGGAGGAAGGAGTTGAAGCCCAGAGAGAGAGAGATCTGCCCATTCTAGGACCAGTCCCTAAATTCTCAACCCCTCCCCTGCTCCTCCTTCTATCTCACGAGGCTGCTCCTTCTGAACCTTCAACTAATTCCAGAATTATACAGTAATGCAAACAACCAAACCACTGATCCAAAAATGACAAAGATACAAACCAGAACTATCTTTAACACTCTATCTTGTCCTCAAATCTAGAATAACAGGTATTCCTCACCCTGTTTCTGAGGTCTTCTCTGTGTTCTCAGTGCTTCTAAGCTGAGACTATAAGTGAAATATTACACCCTTGAAAAAATTTAGAAAAGAAATTTCAATACCAGGTACATAGAGGCCAAGAAATACCCTATGAAATGTATATACAACTACTAATAAAACAAGCACCAAATTGAAGTTAGTGATGAAACCATCAGAGAAAATCTTACCTTGCTTGACAACTGAGCAGCAACATTTCACGGCTGTAAATCAAAATATACAGAAGAACTAAGAAGGCTTTTGCTCTAATGGAAGTTGAGGGGCTGTCAAGTAAACGGATAATTGTAGAAACAAAAACCTGTGGAAGACATTTTAAAATTTTTTTGAGAAAACATGAAAAAAATAGGGTACTCTCAATTCTCAAAGTGAATAGATTATAATGATCATACAAATGGCAGGAAGTAAAATACTATCAG